TAGATCCTTTTTAATTATTATCTCATTTGATCCTCACAAAAACCCTGGGAGGTAGGTGCTATTATTATTCCCATTTTACAGACAGGGAAACTGAGGCAAACAGGGATTTCAATGACTTGCTCAGGGTCACATAGCTAGTAAGTGTCCTGAAGCCAAATTTGAACTCAGGTCTTCCTGACTTCAGGCTCAGTTCTCTGTCTGTTGTGCCACAAGCTACCGAGTACTTTGAAAAATACTCCTTCATAGCCTTTGACTCTATTGGGAAATAGCTATTTTCGGCCTTAGATATTTTTGTTTCCATATCTTGGGTAGCAAATCCTTATCTGAGAAATCTGATACAATTTCTCCACAATCACTTCCCTTCTTATCCTAGATGCATTAATTCTTTTTTGTGTGAAAGCTTTTCAGTTCTATATATTCAAAATGATTTCTCTCTCATCCTGTCTCCCTCTATTTCCCTCTCCCTCCCTCCCTCTGTCTGTCTCTCCCCCTTCCTCTCTCTCTTTTTCTCTTCTTTCATAATGGTCTGTTCCTTATTTGGTTAAGATTGCATCTCTTACACATAGCTCTGAAAGCTATATGATCTGCTTTTCATCAAGTTTTTTTTTTAAAGGCTATTATCTTTAATATTCAGGTTGCGTATCAATTTTGTGTTTATTCTGCTACGTATTATAAGATGATAGTCTAAACTTAATTTCTTCCAGACTGATTTCCAGTATTCCCAGCAATTCTTTCAAATAGTGAGCTCTTGGGGCAGCTAGGTGGCACGGTGGATAGAGCATTGGCCTTGGTGTCCTGGAAGACCCGAGTTTAAAGCCAGCCTCAGACTTGTGACTCTGGGCAAGTCACTTAACCCCAGTTGCCTCACCAAAAAAAACACAAATGGTGAATTCTTTTTGTAGGTAATTGATGTTCCCAGTTTTATAAACAAAGTTTTATTTCAATTCAGTTATTTCTGAATCTTCCTTATCTAATGTTGTGTTGATCTACTTTAAAATTTACTAGTGCCCAATAGTCTTGATGCAAACTGCTTTATCATACAATTTGGGGTCTGGATGTACTCTGTTCCAATGGCTTATCTTTTTCACTCCTGTGTTCTTATGGTGATGTTGTATGGCTCTGAGTTCTCATAAACCACAGGTCCAAAGAGTTGAAGTTGAGGCTTGCTCAGAAGCAATGGGATGGATGGTTCGTGTGAACAGGCTTTATCTCATTACAAAGGAGTAAGTACATAGGAGAAACGGTGTAAATGATATCAGAGAAAAACGTATGGCTCTGGGAATAAAAAGATGGTTTCTTCAAGCAGTGTGAGGGACAACGAATAGATAGCTCAGGACACTAATGGCATTCAGGCAATGTGAGGAGAATTGAGGAAGGCTCCTAGCCTGTTAGGTGTTTCCCTTCTGGAGAACTTATGGACAGACATGGATATTAAATGGACTTACCTCCCTTATCTGGATTATTGCAATGGCTCACTGCTTGGTTGCCCTCCCTCCATTCTATCCCCTCCTATCACAGATCTGGCCATGACATTCTTTTGCTCAATAATCTGCAGTAGCTCACTATTGCTTGCAGGTTTGTTTGGTATTTTAAGCTCTTTACTCTCTAGCTCCAGCCTACCATTCTAGACTGATTAACATTAGGCTCTGCCCATTCACTCTACATTGCACCTAAATTGACCTATGTGTTCCTTGGTTTATGACATTCCATCCCCCCACTTCCTTGGCTTTGCATAGATTGTCTCCCAAGCCTGAAGTGCTCTTCCCTGCCTCTTGTACTTCCAAACTTTTAAAGGCTCCATTCAAGTGGCACTTTCTAAAAGGGCCTTTCCTCATCCCTCTCAGTTATTAGTACTTTCTCCCCTCCCCCAAATTACTTTATATTGATATATGTCTACATCTTCCTAGAGGGAGGAATGAACAAAGAAAGGAAGGAAGGAAGAAGAAAGGAGGGCAGAAGGAAGAAAAGAAGGAAGGGAGGAAGGAAGAAAAAAGGAGAGAGGAAGGAATTTAGCATTTAAGTGTCTTCTAAGTGCCAGACAGTATGCTAAGTGCTTTACAAATTTTATCTCAGTAGTACTTAAGCATCTGGAGATCTTGATCTGTGGGGTTTTGTTTATTTGTTTAGGTCTTTATATCCGTAGGGGTACCACAGTGCCTGACACATAGCAAACACTTTAAAATTCTTGTTGAGTTGAATTGAAATGATTGAATTGAAAAGCCATCACCCTTGCCTGGAATGCATTTACTCCTAAGCTCCTGTGCCAGATCTACAGTGAGGGCTTGCTGCTCTCTACCAAATGTGTTTTGTCTCTTACATTTTGCTCGATCAGTTTTTTTCTGGATCTCCTTTGCTCTCTCATTTTTATTATGTTTTGCTGTGTACTTATACTCCTTAGTGTAGAGATTCTCCATCAGGGGTCCATGATCTTTTTAAAAAATACTATTTGATAATTGTAGTTTAATATAATTATTTTCCTTTGTATTCCTATGTATATTAATTTATAAATTTAAAAGCATGACCAGACGATCAAGGGGTCCATGCCTCAAAAGAAGATTAACAACCCCTTCCTTAGTTATTGGGTAGTTAGCTTTTGCAGGCCAGGCAGGGGCTTTGAGGTTTTTTACCTTTACTACCATCTGGTAGCCTATCCCTGAGGTTTGTGGATGGGAGTGATGGGGTGTGGCCCAAACTGAGGTCTACAGCCCTTGCCCTAAAGGGAATTTGGCTCCTATTTTAGGTTTTTATTGACTTCCCTTTTCGAATCCCCTTGTTTCCCTTTAAGGACCCTAATCTCACCTGTTTGATTCTATTCCAATTAGAATCCCTTGGTTTCCCTTTGAGAGCCCTAGCTTCATCTGTTGATATTATTCCAATCAGAGTTCACACCCACGCCCTTTTCCCAGACCCTCTCCTGATTATCCAGAGTCATTTTTAAGCATATAAGATCTCCCCTGGCCCTCATTTGGGAGGAGAAATCCCAAGCAGAAAAGGCTGAGACTCCCTCCTCCACAACTGTTTTTACTGGCGTTACCTTGGCTTATGTGTTTTATCCTTTTAAATAAACTTCCTCTGGCTGAAGTAGATTTGAGTTGAATTCTTTTAGGCAGGGCGCGGTACCGCAAATTTGGGGTTTCCAGCACCCCAACACTTCTAGACCTCTTCATAGGGTTCTGGGAGTGGGAATCGAACCCGGGCCACGGCGGTGAGAGCCCCAGATCCTAACCACTAAACCACTGAGCGGAATCTTTGACAGTTGGAGTCAGGGACGGCATGGCTGATGAGGAGGAGGATCCCACTTTTGAGGAAGATAATGAAGATGTGTGAGGAGGAGCAGACGGTGGACAGGGTAAAAGGAAAAGACTTTTCTCTAAAGAATTAAGGTGTATGATGCATGGCTTTGGTGATGACCAAAATCCGTACACTGAATCAGTGGATATTCTGGAAGACCTTGTCATAGAATTCACCACTGAAATGACTCAGAAAGCAATGTCTATTGGAAGACAAGGTCGAGTGCAGGTTGAAGATATTGTCTTCTTGATTCCACAGGACCCAAGGAAGTTTGCCAGAGTTAAAGACTTGCTTACTATGAATGAAGAACTGAAATGGGCTAGAAAAGCATTTGATGAAGCAAACTATGGATCCTGACATCTTGGCATGTTCTCCAACATTACCCTATCTTTTAGGACAAGTGTATCGTGTGTACTAGAAGTATATGTATTTTTCACCATGCCAAAAATGAAAGGTCCCAACGTACGTTAAGTACTTCTTACAATTATCTCGTTACCTTTACTCAATTAACGCTATAAATGAGAAATGGAGCAATTCTTAATTGCTGCCTTTACTTTGACTTTGTGGATTCTAAAAGCGGTATTTAGGTATTGAATTGCCCACCTCTCTTTGTTATACTTGAAATTGTTCATTGGTTTTAATGACAGCATGGGAGAAGCTAAAATATCCTGCAAACAGTGCAGATTATCCTGTCTTTTTCAGGTAAGAAAGACAATTTAAACTAAGTAGTATCTATGTTCTGGTCTCATTTTTGCCACTGAAGTTTTATATTATAGCAGTTTGATATGTGGAATCTAAATATTAGCCTTTTTGGTTTTGTGATTCATCAAACAAATTTCCTGGCTACTTTCAATCTCTCTGACAAATAATGGTTTTAGGATTGCCACAGGAAACTTTTCCACACTCTGTGCTGGGTTATATTCTTAAAGTGTTGTCAGTTTCTCTTAAGGAAAGAGGGGGAAAGGTCTCGGCTTCTGAAACTGCTTCCTGCTGGCAAGGGGCTTAGAGGGTCCCTGCCTCTCTGGGTCCCATTGGAAGGATCAAACTTCAAAGCCCGGCTGATACCAAGGTTCAGCAGACTAAAATCCTCCAGTTGGTATACAGCCAGAGCAGTGCTCTAGAAGTTGATGGCTCTAGCCCTTTTTCATCAGCTTGTCCTGTAGAGGGGGCTGGGGCTTGTCTAAACAGTAACTGTAGTTCCTCCAAGGGTTCACAGGTATATTCCGAAAATCTCTGAGGGGGAAACAAAAGGTGACACTGCTTTAATCCTAGAATGATGAGTTCAGCTAGCAAGGCCCTCTGGTTTCACTGCGGTTGGAGGGTGACTAGAACTCAGTAGCGTCCCTTCCTATTGACATCCAATTGTTCTCCCTTGGGAATTTTCCAAGATTTTAAATACACCAAGTCCCCAGGTCTTCCTGGGGTATGACCCTCCTTTTCAGAGTCAAGAGGCTTTGGAAGATGAGGTCCTGGAAGCGCTAGACAAGACAAAGAAAGCGAGCGTCCTCAGTTGGACTGATGATGAAAGCTAATGGAACAGGTGATGCTCAGATGAAATTAACATCTTGTCAGTCTTAAGGAGATCAGCTCCTCTGCCTCTTTCACATTATGTTTACTAGATGCCCCCTGAAGAAAATGATAATAAGGACAACAATAGTGATAATAGAGATAATTGAAATCTAGGGGGAAAAAACCCTTTCTAGACAACGTTCATGAAATGCCCATCAAGATCCTTTTTTTGGGGGGTACAGGAAAGGTGGGGCATACATAGCTAGCATCTGGCAAGCAACTCCTCTCACCTGGAATCGTTTACCGAGGGACTGCGGCTGGTGGCTTTGTGGGAAGACTGGCTGTGACATCCTCCCTGCAGCCTGAGGCCATTTATGAATCTCCTTGGAAGACACAGCCTGCCAGGAAGACCTCCTCTGGCCACTGCAGCCTTTCTTCTTGGCCAGTCTGCGAACTCCCCTTTCCTGGTGCCGGGAGTGCCTCCGCAATGACGTATCTTTTTTGGCCACCCTCTGACTTCCATCCCGCTCAGTCATGTAGCCCTCACTCTGCAAGTTCAACACAAGGGGGTTCTCTCGTGGGTGGGGTGATGCTTCATAGGCTGCTACAGCGATGCTCCCGGCTCCAGCAGAGGCCATGCTCATGTGGACTGACGGGGTGAGGCTGCAGATGCCCGCAGAAGACATGCTCACCGAGTCTGGGATCACACTGGCAGCGCCAGCCAGCATTACACTCACACTGCTGAGAGAAGTGGTCTCTGTCACCTGCCCAGTTGTAGTCCCAGCCAGGGAAACACTTATGCCAGGCCCTGGCTGCCTCCTGTAGCTGCCCCCACTCCTGCGGGAGTCAAAGCCATGGCCTTTCTGGCAGGCCTCTTGCTGGTGGCAGCGGCTACAGCAATGCCACGACAGATGGTGTACTGGGAAGGGACACACTGGGCACCCCTTGGACGGTGATGTGATGGCGCAGCAGGTCCTACTTGGCGCCTCCTGGGCTAGCAAAGCCCTCTCTGGCTGCAGCCGCCATGATTATTTCTGGCTTTACTGCCATCTTACACTGGCCGGGAATGTCACGAACCGAGTCCAGACTCCTGATACTCACTTTATCCTGCTCCCTTTTGCTGGACGGAATAGGCTCCTGGGGATGGGGCCCACAGTGCTCGAGGCAGAAGAGGCAGAAGAGGATAGTTAGAGGTGGCCCGGGTCAAGGTCAGGTCATAAATATGCTAGGGTCAGGAGCCCTCCTCTTACCCCAGTAGAATGGAGAAGGAAACAGAGGAAGTGTAGGACGTGGAACACATGTGTCTGTTCTGGTGTGCTGTGAGTGTGCATAGGGTGGGGTGGGGTGGGGGTGGGGACCTGATTCCCAAAAGAAGGCATATCTTTGGCAACTCCCTCCCCCCTCTCTCCCTCATCAGGTTTGGGCTTGGCAATCAAGTCATTCCTGCTACCCTGTCCACCCTAGGACAAAGGCCTAAGCAGGAAGCTGGATGTGTTACTTCCACACACTGTCACTCCTGAAAGGGCTGGGGCAAGAACACTTATCAAATCATTCATCATTTCCCCTTTACTCCTCTTTTCTAGCATAGGTGATTAGAGAATATGATGGAGTGCTCTAAAGAGGACATGAGAGGCAGGCCAGGCAAGGCCCATATTGGGTGCTTCTGTGTGGCTAGACTCACAGGAGATTTATCTTCTGCAATGAAAACAGGCACCTCGACGCCATCCGCAACACGGGTGGCGTGGCGGCTGCTGTAGCCCTCCACAAGTGGCCAAAGGAGATAGATGAGCTTCTCCCAGTAGGACAAGAGGTCCTCCCTGACATCGGAGGGTGGACAGAGTTGTGAGTAGAATGACTGCCGATGACCAGTTTCAGCCGAAGACGCTGCTTCTCACCCTCATGGACAGAAATCTTCACAAACTTCAAGGGGAGTAGCCTGTAGTCTCCCCACCGTGGGAAGTATGTTCCACAGTCCTCCCTCCTTCTTACTACTCCTTCTCCGACCCCCAAGTTCTCATCAATTCTTCCTCAACTGCACTGGCTGCCTGAGACTTTGAGTGGCCTCCTTATGACTTTTTTACACTGGGGGTGCAGGCTCTGCTTGGAGGTGACACCTCATTTTCCCGGTGAGAGATGGAAATGGGGGTTCTCTTCAGAAGTCCATGGGTTTCGAGCCCTCCTTGATCTAAGTCCAGTTATTCTCTAAGTGACTTTTTGAAGACCATGTTGGCTGCATGTGTTGCAGGACGGTTTCTGATCTGAACGGTTAGAGCTCATCCAAGTTCAAAACCAGGAGGTTGAAATGCTGTTCTGGTAAGGGACAGGCTAGGTCAATCACTTCCCCTCTCTTGGTGATCTGCAGGGGGGAAGGGGGATGGAAAGGAAGGGAGATGTGAGCGGGAGAGACCAGATGCCCACTTCCAAAGAGCTCCTCTTCCTCCTCCTCTGGATGGACTGGAGGCAGATGGATACTATCTGAGACCCGTGGATGATCAGTCCCTCACCAAGTTCCGACCTACCTCATGGCTGGTTGGTTATTTGAGGCCTCTCTTCCCTCCCCACCCCATTCTCAAGTGGAATCTTCTCAGACCCCAACATGTCCTGCTCAGCCAAGTCTTGTCATTCAACCCACGGGCAGACCTGGGATTCATGGACCTGCCTCACTTAGATACCAAATGCTGCTGCTGCTGCGGACACCGGCGCCCCTCCCCCTGCCCCCCTATAAGACTGGGCGCCAGTGAGCAGCCCAGCTCGCCACGAGGAGCCTGGGAAGGAGACAAGCTCCAGAGCTAGGGCGGTGGGACTGGGGGATGAGGGGGGCCTGGCCTCCGGCTCCAACCTCAATGCTTTACACGGGAAGCACCTGGATGAAGTCGCTCTCGAACATGGGGGCGTACTTGAAGGCCTCGTACTCCTCCTCTCTGTACAACTGCTTCTGCAGCTTCCCAGTGGGCGTGTTGAATAGGCCCACAAGGCACCCACTGGCTGCCGTATAGTAAGGGAGCATAGATGGGCGGAGCCAAGATGGCGGAGTGAAAGCAGTGACTTGCTTGAGCTCTCCCCAAACCCCTCCAAATACTCATAAAAACTGGCTCTACACAAACTCTGAAGCAGCAGGACCCACAAAAAGAGAGAGTGAAACAAATTTCCAGCCCAAGACAACCTGGATGATCTATCAGAAAGGTGTATTGCGCCAGACTGGGAGCACAGTGCAGCCCCACAACGAACCTAGAGCAGGCCTCAGAGGACTGAATCATGGGCAGCTGTGGAGGTTTCCAGACTCCTCAATCCAGGAATGCCAAAGACAACTTAGAAGGTCAGTGGGAAAAGTCTGTTTCTATCAGTGCTGAGACAGGAAGGTGGGGTTTCAGCTCCATTCCCCAACAGCGTGGCCCTGGGTGGGGGGGCAGCTGCTTCCCGAGCTTCCAGCCCATAGACTGAAGGGGAATCCAGTGGCTGATCAGAGAGGGACTGCAGGGATCTCTTTGACAGTGCTGAGGCAGGAATCTCTTGCTTTGCCCCTGTTTGGATTAGGGTCACAGTCCTGGGTGGCGGTGCTGGGGTGAGGAGAAATGCTGGCGTGGTAGAGCTTGGAGTGGCTCTGGAGAGGAACCCTTCTTCACAGTTACAGGATAGAAAGGAATACTTGTGGTCACAGGCCAGGAAAGGAGTAAACACCTCTCCCCTTACCATACCACCTTGGAAGAACTGAAAATTTACAGGTCCCTACAAGTATCTCTGAAAACAGCTACACAAACCCCTGAAGCTTGGGACAATATATTCTCCACATTGGAAGCAGACTCTTACCTTAACAAAGAGTTTAAAACTCAAGTAATTGGCTGGGATCATGAGCAAGCAGCGAAAAAAGAGTCAGACCATAGAATCTTACTTTGGTAAAAAAGAAGATCAAAATATACAACCAGAAGAAGACAACAAAGTCAAAGCTCCTACATCCAAAGCCTCCAAGAAAAATATGAATCAGTCCCAGGCCTTGGAAGAGCTCAAAAGGGATTTTGAGAAGCAAGTAAGGGAAGTAGAGGAAAAACTGAGAGTGATGCAAGAAAATCAGAAAAACAAGTCAACAGCTTGCTAAAGGAGACCCAAAAAATACTGAAGAAAATAACACCTTAAAAAATAGCCTAACCCAAATGGCAAAAGAGGTCCAAAAAGCCAATGAGGAGAAAAATGCCCTAAAAAGAAAATTGGCCAAATGGAAAAGGAAGTCCAAAAGCTTACTGAAGAAAATACTTCCTTAAAAATTAGAATAGAGCAATTGGAAGATAGTGACTTTATGAGAAATCAAGACACAGTAGAACAAATCCAAAAGAATGAAAAATTAGAAAACAATGTGAAATATCTCATTGGAAAAACAACTGACCTGGAAAATAGATCCAGGAGAGAGAATTTTAAAATTATTGGACTATCTGAAAGCCATGATCAAAAAAAGAGCCTAGACATCATCTTTCAAGAAATTATCAAGGAAAACTGCCCTGATATTATTAGAACCAGAGGGCAAAATAGAAATTGAAAGAATCCACAGATCTCCTCCTGAAAGAGATCCCCAAAGGAAAACTCCTAGGAATATGTAGCCAAATTCCAGAGTTCCCAGGTCAAGGAGAAAATATTACAAGCTGCCAGAAGGAAACAATTCAAGTACTGTGGAAACACAATCAGGATAACACAAGATTTAGCAGCTTCTACATTAAAGGACCGCAGGGCATGGAATATAATATTGGGGAGGGCAAAGGGGATAGGATTATAAAAATGAGTCACCTACCCAGCAAAACTGAGTATAATCCTTCAGGGGAAAAAATGGTCATTCAGTGAAATAGAGGACTTTCAAGCATTCTTGATGAAAAGACCAGAGCTGAATAGAAAATTTGACTTTCAAATACAGGACTCAAGTGGAACATGAAGAGGTAAACAGGAAAGAGAAATCATAAGAGACTTATTAAGATTGAACTGTTTACATTCCTGCATGGAAAGATGATATTTATAACTCATGAGACCTTTGTCAGTATTAGGGTAGTTGGAGGAAAAAATTATATGTATGTATATGTAGATAGATAGAGGGCACAGGGTGAGTTGAAGATTAAGGGATCATATCTGGAGAATAAAATTAAGGGATGAGAGAGGATTATACTCGGAGAAGAAGAAAGGGAGAGGTAGAATGGGGTAAACTATCTCACAAAAAAAAGAGAAACGAAAAGTCTCTTACAGTGGAGGGGAAATGGGGGAAGGTGAGAGAGAATGAGTGAATCTTATTCTCATAGGATTTGGCTTAAGGAGGGAATAACAAACACATTCAATTGGGTATGGAAATCTGTCTTACCCTACAGGAAAATAGGGGGAGAAGGGGACAAGAGAGCAGGGGGATGATAGAGAGGAGGGCAGATTGGGAAAGGGAGTAAACAGAAGTAAATACTTCTGAGGAGCGACAGGGTGAAAAGAAAGAACAGAATAAATGGGAGGGCAGGATAGGATTAAGGGAAATAGAGTTAGTTTTTCACAACATGCCTACTATGGACGTGTTTTAACTGCATATGTTACAGCCTATATTGAGTTGCTTGCCTTTTCAGTGAGGGTGGGTTGGGAGGAAGAGAGAAAATTTGAAACCTAAAGTTTTAAAAACATATGTTTTAAAAAAATGTTTTCACATGCTACTGGGAAATAAGAAATACAGGAAATGGGGTACAGAAGTCTATTCCGCCCTACAGGAGAATAGAAGGGGAAGGGGATAGAAGAGATAGAAGAGAGGACAGACTAGGGGAAGGGATATTCAGAATGCATGCCATCTTGGGGTGGAAGGAGGGGGGAGATGGGGTATAAATTTGGAATTCAAAACGTGTGGGAGTGAATGTTGAAAGCTAAAAATAAATAAATTTATATTTAAAAAATTTAAAAAAATATAATAAGGGAGCATAGACTCGCTGCTCCCGGTCTTGCCTCCCCTTCCTCTCTTCTGAAGGGACAGGTGCGAGTGGGCGTCAGAGGACAAGCAGCAAAGGGCAGGGCAGAGCAGAGCAAAGAAAGGTTAGGGCTTAAACGAGCTTCCTGACCCCCTCCCCCGACCTTTGGCCAATTGTGCTGGGAAAGGGAGGGGCCCATGGCCGCTGGGGGGGGGCAGAGGCAGGGCACCCCTGGGGTCAGGGGAGGGCAGGTGTGGCTGAAGGGCTGCCTCACCAGGGGCCCAGCCACCCCATGGGTGGGGGTCACCTCCGCCAAGTCGAGGTCGCCACTGGGAGACAGGGCTCGAGGTATGTCCATGGCCCTGTGCCCCCGCGTCTCTTCCCTCCTTCCTTCCCTGCTGCTCCACGCCTTTGAGAGCTGTAGGGGGGAGGCCCGCCTGGCGGCTAGTCGGCGTGTAACCACTCTGCGGCCTCCCTCCGTGCTCCTGGCCTACGGGGCTCGCGCGCTCGCTCACTCCCCGTGCGCCTCGCGCTGGTGCCAAGGGGGGAGGAAGGCGGAGACAATGTCTTTCCTTCCTCCCTCCCTCTGACCGTCCTGGGGACAAGCGCAGCCAAGGCAAGGCCGCTGGTTTTATAGCAGCGGCACAACTGGGTGCGGCCCTCTGTGACAGTGGCCCCCTTACCTCTGTGACCCCCGCGGACCCTGCCGCCAGCCCAACCTGAGTGAGCCTCCTTCCCCCGCCCCCAAAACTGCGATCGCACCCCTCAGGCGGCCCCGGGGAGTCTGGGGGAGTCTAACCCTAATTGCGCGCGCACCCGCGCGCGCAGCGCACACACACACGCACACACGCACGCACGCACGCACGCACGCAGAGTTCATCTAGGCTCAGCTGCTCACTAAGCAGAGGAAGATCGGGGGGTCTCTCTTCTTTCTCCTTCTTGCTCTGTTGGCTTCCTTCGGAGCCTGGGTGGGAAGGAGAAACACATGAAAGCCAGACACTCCAAAGCCCTCCTGGGCACCCAAGTGGCTGCCCTCGGCTGTCAGGGCAGAACGTGGGCTGTCAGGGCAGAACGTGGGCTCCCCAAGCACAGGGTCTTGTGTCCAACAGACACAAAAGACCTTCACTGAGTGCCAACCAGATGGCAGTTTCTCAAGGGCTTTTTGGAGCAGAGGTTTTTCTCCAACCAGACTTGGAGGCCAAGTTTTCTTCAAAGGGTTGGATGCACAGAGACACGCAGGCCTACTTTTAAGTGGTAGGCCCTCCCAAAAGGAGATAGGTCAGCACAAGAGCCCTGTGCCCACCACTAGTCAAGCCACTGCCACATTAGCCTGGGTTGCCCTTGGTTGTTCCATAGGGGTTCCAAGGCCAGGTCTTCCCATCTCCCTGGGACAAGAGCATGGTACTGACCAATGGACTGTGTATCTTGAGAAGCAGGGGATGGCTAGTCCACATCCATGGGAGACTCATCCCTCCGGGAAGCAACCTCAGACTGACTGGACTCCGACTGGACAAAATGGGAGACATGGCTAGTCACCAGGAAGTCTGGGTCCCTGCTTCCTCAAGCAGGGGCCCTTCCCATAAGGAACAGAGAAGATAGTGACCCTTCACTGCCCCTCTGTCAGCACTCAGGACCTGATACAACCAGATCAGAAAAGAAGCCAAAGCTGCCTTGGAAGGCAAGCAGAGGTGCCCGGGAGCCAAGCTGTCTGGTGGTCTTTCCTGCACTTTGCTCCATTCTTCCCCAGTACTGTTGCCCTTTCCTCCCCAGCTTGTTCTTCCTAGGGGAAGGCTTGGTCTGCACTGTGGTATGAGGCCTTCCTAGACACAGGCTTCAGAGTTCTCTTCTCTTCTTTCTGGGTTGAGGGGGCAGGGCCACTCAGGCATTTGTATTGCAAGCCACCACCTGAACAAGGCCCCCAATCATCATGGAGCTCTGAGGACCCAGGGCTGCGGCAGGGTGTGTGTTCCAGTGTGCCAGGGCCCCAAGGGGTGCTGTCCTGGGTGACCAAGGCTCCTTCCCCACTCCTACTCAGAACCCAGAAAAGAGATCTGAGGAAGGTTCAATTAGGCAGCAAAGAGGGTCAGGGATGAGCCCACAGAAAGGAAAGAGAAAAACTAAGAAACAAAACTTAACTCCTGCTCCCTAGAAGCATCTGGACACTAAGCTCACGGACAAGCAAAGAGTGGGGAGTGGGGTGGGGGTGGGGAAGGAAAACAACACGCAGATGAAGAAAGAAAAAGAAAATGAACAAAAGAGAGGCCCCAGGCATCACGCTAGCCATTGCTGCTTGCTGCTCTCTCCTCGCCCTTTGACCCTCATGTATTACTTGTATAATGACATCAGCCTCAGCCTCCAGCTGCCAAACAGCTGCCTGGATGCTGCTGGCCAAGCCCAGGCTGGAGGTACCTGGGAATGGGGAGCAGAGGGAAGGCCCTTCAGGCTGCAGAAAGAGGGCAGAAGCAACCCCAGGGAAGCCACAGCGGCTGGTGACCAAGGGTGTTCCAAGGGCACAGCCATAGGGCACTGAGTGAAGCCAGAGAGAGTGAGTCCTCCCCACCCCCACCCCAACAGCCCCTTGGATGAGGAAATGGGGATAGAGACTGGCTGGCATCCTGTGCCCCAACTCCAGACCTGGACAAGGTGGGCCCCTGGCTAGGTGGCCTACCTAGTCTGCCTGTCTGCTTGGCCTTCTTGTTAGCTCTGCGTGTGTCATCTCGGAGCTGGATGATGACCTGCAGCACCCGCAAGAAGAACTTCTGTGGGGATGTTTTTGATGTCAGCATGGGCACGGACGGTGGTTGGAGCTCTTGACACCCAGTGGGCGCTTCTGAGATGCCACGATCACCACGTTCTCAGCCATGTCAAACCTAGGGGGCCAGCAGAGGGATGTTTTGCTTCCGTGGCTATGTGTTGTGTATGTGAATGTGAGAGAGAGAGAGAAAAGACAGTGAAGGACACTGGGGGTGGTGTGGGGTGTGTGTGTGTGTGTGTGTGTGTGTGTGTGTGTGTGTGTGTGTGTGTGTGTGTGCGCAGAGAGAGACACATACAGAGAGTGAAGGGGGGACGAGAGAGAGAGATGAGAGAGAAGAGCAAGGGAGGATGGGATGAGGGTGGGGGAGGAAGAGGAGGTGAGAGTAGGAAACACATGCCCAGGGAAGGAAAAGGGTGCTGCCAGCAGGCAAGGCCTTGGCCACCAACACTGTGGAGCCTAGGTGTTGCCCAGAAGAGCAGCGGCCCACCTGCTCTGCATCTTTCCTTTCAGTTGGGTAGCCTGGGGTCGCTCTTTGGGCAGCTCCTCTGGAGACAGGATCTCACACTGGGCTTGCTGCTGCTGCTCCAAATTGTATTCTTGGAACGTCTTAGTTGAATTGTTGCAGAATTAAGTGAGAAGAACCTGGATCACAATTTAGATAATAAACAACTTTATTCATTCAAATACATTATTCTGAGGAATCCATAGGTTTGGCCAGATTGTCAAAGAGGTCCATGACACACAAAAAAGGGTCAGAACTCTTGCCTAGGGTTAAAAGATACCTTTCCCATTTGAAATATGTAATCTCTAAAAATGTAGATGAATCAAGCCATATCAGTCTTTGGTCTGGGGCCCAAGAATACAACTTTTTTTTGTTGCCTTGATGATTCGCTTAAAAGACCATAACCTTTGTTTGGAAGATGATACCAATATTTGGTAGTAGTATGTAATGAACTGTACGTCTGACATCGATGGGCTTGATAAATGAGTCAGAAGGCATCTTGGAGCTAGGAGATGCACTTTAACTGGTAAGGGTATGGAGAGGTACTGGGGTCATTTATGTACACCCAAACCCTGATCCAGCATCTTTATTATTGTGCAAGAAGCTTCCTGGTCACTGTAGCATTGGGTGGTTGAAAAGATTATACTTTTCACTGCTCAGTGCCATCTTGCCTGTATGAAGGATCTGAAAGGTACTGTTTTTCTGCCTTGGTTTCTTGGGGTGGAATATTGTTGTTGGAATCAGGAATACATCAGTTTAAAACCTACATCCAATTCTTAATAACTGTGTAACCATGGGCAAGGAACTTAATTTTTATAAGCCTTATCTGCAAAGGAGTTAATAAAGGGAGTCTGTAGTATCTCCCCCAGAGGGCTGTTGTGAAGCTCAAATGAGATAATATATGTGAATTGCTTTGTTAAACTTTAAAAGTGGGGTGAGAACGTTACCATATCTGGTTAATAATAACGTAATCTTTATCATCATCACCATCATTTACTCTGGGTAGGTCAGAGGTGGATTATGGATATAGTACTTGTTTTAGTAATTGACGGTTAATATTTTTTTTGATTTTTAGGCAATCAGGGTTAAGTGACTTGCCCAGGATCACACAGCTAGTAAATGTCAAGTGTTTGGTCTGAAGACAGATTTGAACTCTGATGCTCCTGACTTCAAGGCCAGTGCTCTATTCACTGCGCCACCCGGCTGTCCCTAATTGAGGGTTATTTTTAAGAGGAAAGATACCTCCTTCTGAAGGAAGAACTTTCTGTACACTCATCCTAAGAAATCTTTTATTTCTTCTTTAGCTCAAACGTAGGACAGACTTACTGCCAGGATAGTAAAACTGGCTAGTGATAG